GAAGGAAGGAAGGAAGGAAGGAAGGAAGGAAGGAAGGAAGGAAGAAAGAAAGAAAGAAAGAAAGAAAGAAAGGAACTTCAACATTCTGCTAGTGGTTTCCTCTGCTTTAAAAAGCCAACTTTCTGATTTCCTTATCTGTTGGAAAGGACTCTGATTCCAGGCAGCCAGAGCCAAACAAAAGCAAAATACGAAAAGGAAAGGGGAAAAAAATAACCCAGCGGAGTTGTCTCCCTCCAAAAAAGACTGTTTTAAAAAGTCTCTTCAAAACTCTCCAAGCTTTGCTGGAAAAACAAACACGGGACTTTTTTTTTTCCCTGGATGTGGCCAAATCTTTTCGGCCCCTTTTCCCTTCCCCGTCCGGCCTGGGGGGGTCTGGCTTTCCCTCCCACGGTCCTGCAGCTGATGGTTGACCTGGCTCTGCAAATGAAAACATTGGGTCTCTTACGCAGGACAGGACTCCTCCTGGCCCAAGGTGTGCTGTTCTGCTCCTTTGGCCCCGAAGTTTGACTTGGCTTTACAGCCCCGGTCTTATTTCTTGGCCACAGCCAAGCAACTTCCGCTTCCAAAGCCATGGCGGTTGCTCGGCGCAAAGGCCTCCCTGTTTCGGCATCCCTGGGCTTGTGGTTGTTGAGGGACTCCCTTCTTCGAACGCCGCTTGGTGAGCAGATGCAACCAAACTGAGCTGAATCAACTTCAGACGACCTAGGGAGCCACTAGCAAAGGGGGTTCTGCTACACACACACACACACACACACACACACACACACACACACACCCCTTCCTCTCTCTTGCATGCCCAAAGAGTTCTCCTCGTTAAAGGAGAGCATTTGAAACTCAGGATTGGAAGGAGGCGCCCTTGGTCCTCTCTGAACTTGGTGGTTTCCTTGCAGATGTTTCATGACCCAAACTAGGTAACAGCAGCACTGATGATGTTCCCTGGTTGGGTCATGAAACATCTGCCAGAAAACAGCCAAGCTCTGAGAGCACCAGAGAGCCATAATCCTCCTCCTCCTTCCTCCTTTCCACAAACCCCACTCCCTTTAGCAGTGATGATGTTACCTAGTTCCTAGTTCCTCCCGTTCCTTCCTTCCTCCCTTCCTTCCTTCCTCCTCATCCTCCTCCTCTCCACAAACCCCACTCCCTTTAGCAGTGATGATATT